CCTTGTCTCTAAATAAAATACAGAATAGGGCTGGGGATGTGGCTCAGTGATAAGAGTGCCCCTGAGTTCAATCCCCAGTATCCCCTCTCCCCCACACCAAAAAAACGTTGTGTGTTGGCCTTTTACTCTTGGTATACTCAATATCCCATATGTTCATAATTCAGGTTCAACAATTATCAATTTGTGGACAATCTCATTTCATTTGGACCCTCTTCTACTTCCCCTTTTTAGATTATTTCAGAGCAGATCCCAGACATTACATCATTTTATCCTAAAGAGGGAACTTGCTTTCAATGTTTTGACAATAAGCTGCAAGAGGAATCTTTTTGCTCTCCAGTTAAGTTAGTCACACATTCCAATAAAATAAAATGGAAATTAGATTGTATATCTTAAATGTTATTATTATTTTTATTTTTTGTACCAAGGATTGAATGCAGAGGCAGTTAACCACATCTGCAGTCCTTTCATATATTTTATTTAGAGACAGGGCCTCACTAAATTGCTGAGGCTGGCTTTGAACTCATGATCCTCCTGCCTCAGCTTCCCAAGCCACTGGGATTACAGGCGTGTGCCACCACGCCTGGCTTTAAATGTTATTTTCAATCTGTTTAATTTTAAACAAGTTTAAACAAGCAAGTAAAATTTAAAAATAAACGAAAAACAAATGGAGTTTGTTACTCATTCTTTTTCTTTTCTTCCTTCTCTTCCTCCTTCTTAGAGAGGGGAGAGTGCTACTGTAGTCCCCCACTACCACAAATTATGCAAGTTTCCTACATTTGGAGAAATCACAGGGGTCAGCACATCTGCAGTGCTGTGGATAAGCCACACTCGGGGAAAATCACTTTTGTGATCATTGTGTGTCCTCTGCCAGGTAAATAGTTTAACTCCTTTTTTTTTTTTTTACCTCAGCAACTTGCCATTGCTGAGGCTGGGTTTTTTTTTTTTTTTTTTTTAGTTGTAGATGGACACAATATCTTTATTTTTATGTGACACTGTGGATTGAACCCAGGGCCTCACACATGTGAGTCAAGCGCTCTACCACTGAGCTACAAACCCAGCCCCCAGAGGCTAGCTTTGAACTTACTCTCCTCCTGCCTTAGCTTCCCAAGCTGTTGGGATTACAGGCATCAACTGTGGAATCTTTATCTCAGACATCACCTTCTAAATTTTGACTTTGATTTCTGCTAAATGCTTATCATCATTATGGAAAATTTTAGTCTATGATTTTATTTCTTTGAGTACTGGGATCAAACCCAGCGCCTCTACCACTTAGCTACCCATCCATTCCACTCCCATTTTTTTCCCCTGATCATCTAGAACAGACTATGAAAATGTAAACATTAGCAAATAAATCTTTAAAACATCTATCTTTGTTTTTCTCCCAATGCTAAGAGTCAAACCTGGGGCCTTGAATCCAGGACCTTGTATGTGCTAGGAAGTGCTCTACACAGAATCATTCCTCTTCTTAAGAGTTTTTATTGTTGTATTAAATATTTACCATTTACTGTACTTTGATTCTGTTTTTCTTTACACTTTTCCTGTTGAAGTTTCCTGGCTTGAAAGTTATAAGTGTGCCCCAGTGGCTCAGGAGGCAGGGGCAGGAGGATCATGAGTTCAAAGCCATTCTCAGCAACTAACTGAGGCCCTAAGCAACTCAGGGAGACCCTGTCTCTAAATAAAATATAAAAAAGGGCTGGGGATGTTGCTCAGTGGTTAAGCACCCCTGGGTTCAATCCCAGTTGCCAAAAAAAAAAAAAAAAAAAAAAAAGTTATATGAATGCTAGTTTTATTTTATGATGTGTCTTAGCAAAAACCGATTCTCATATTTATTTAATTTCTATCCATTTTTGAGCCTTATCCATATTTCTTCTAATAAGCAAGTACTTTTGCACTTTTCTCATGTACCACTGTCTCTCTCTCTCTCTGAGACTCTTTATGATCACATTGACCAGAATTTCAGTTCTGGAATTTTATTGATACTTTCTAGTTTCTCTTTTCCTTTGCAATCACCTTTTCTTCTTCTCTTCTCCCTCCTCCTTCCTTCCTTCTTTCTTTCCTGTTTTTTGCTTCTACCAGGGCCATTATGCTGTCCTGACATGACCCCATGTCCCTTGAGAATGGTGAAAGGACAGCCACCATCTCTTTACTCCTCACCCACATACTGGCCTTAATTTTCCTGAGGTTTCTTGTTTAGAATTCACAGCATTGCTCAAATCTGTGGCTTTACCTTATTTCATTTTATTTTTGATGTAGATGGAGACAATCCCTTCCTTCCTTCCTTCCTTCCTTCCTTCCTCTCTCTTTTTCGCTGAGGATCAAACCTAGCGCCTCACACATGCTAGGTAAGTGCTCTCTACCACTGAGCCACAACCCTAGCTCTTATTTTTAATTTTGTCTGTTTCTTTTTGCCAGGTCTTGCTATGCTGCCCAAATGAGTCTTTTTTTTAAAAAAAGATATATTTTATTTTTTTTTATATTTATTTTTTAGGTGTAGATGGACACAACACAATGCCTTTATTTTTTATGTGGTGCTGAGGATGGAACACCGGTCCCACCCATGCTAGGTGAGCGCTCTACCGCTGAGCCACAATCCCAGCCCCCAAAAGATATATTTTAGTTGTAGATGGACACAATACCTTTATTTTATTTAAATGTGGTTCTGAGGATCGAACCCAGTGCCTCACACACACTAGGTAAGTGCCACTGAGCCACAATCCCATGACTGAATTAGTCTTAAATTCGTGGACTCAAATGATTGTCCTGATTCAGCCTTCTGTGTACCTAGATGTACATGTGTGTTCCACTGCACCTGGCAGTGGCTTTATTTATTTATTTTTTAAATTCTTCATTAGTTTCGGAAAATCAGCCCTTTCCTGTGAAATATATCACAGGATATAATTTCCCTCATTTCCTCATTCATTCTTTCCTCTCCTGGTTTCCCTGTATGTTAAACTGATTCATTTTATCCTCTTTTAGACCCTTGTATCTTTCATTTTGGATGTATTTTGTGATTGATCTCTAAGTTTACTAATTTTCTATCAGTGTTTAACCTGGCTGTTGACCTCAATCTATTGGATTATAATGTTTTTCAGTTATAAAGTTATTATTTGGTTGTTTTTGTGTATTTCCCACTTTTTCTGGCCAAAATTATGAATCATCTACTTATTTATTTACATGATGAACAATCCAACGACTTCAATATTTTGTTCCTTTTCAATGACTTATTGTTTCTGTTGTTAGATCTAGTTTATATTATCTTCTAGTACATATAATTATTTCTGCTTGTGGACCAAATACCATATTTGCATATTTGTTCATCGAAATACTTAGAGGCCTAGGATGATGATGTTTTATCCAGTGAGAATGGTTTTCTGCCAGCTTCCTGGAGGCGTTGGTACTCAGGGATCACCTTAATGCAATTCTCCGTTTGAGATGGGTTGAAGCCAAGTTGCAATCCCTACATGCAGGGAAATCCTGTAAGGGCTTGCCTATGCTCTTCTCCTTTACTTTTAGGGTGCAGTCCTTTGGGATTCCAATCCAAGACAAGAGTTCTCATGAGGAACACTCTTGCCTAGCAGGTTCTGAACACCAGTCTGTATTGTTAATATTTCCCCTTGTCCTCTTAACTCTCTCTCAAGAAATGCCTTAGCTGGAAAAGTAGTTCTCAATGTGGGCTGGCATCTATCTCTCAGTTATTCTCTTACCCAGGCCTTGGCTCTGTCATTCTTCACTAGCTTGTTAGCTTTCCAACCATATCAAGCAGGGATTTTTATGTTTTTCCAGTTTTACTAGTTTTCCCTCAGTGGGAGGCTTGCTCAGAATTACCTAATCACCAATACCAGAAACCCCAACCCCTCCTTCTGCCTACTTTCAGATGGGAAAAGCACTCTAATAACCATGATCTGCTAAGAAAGAGAACTGACAATGGAAATGTCAACAGTGTAACACTTACCCAAGCCCCAAAACAGGATGGGAAGTGCCACCCGAGGGAGATTCTACAAAGAAGCAAGAATATTAGTGTAATACAGTTGAAAACCAATAGTGTTAACTAAATATCCTTCCAGAAAATTAGGGGATCCAATCTTTGCTGACAATGCTTTATACTAAGTTTATGAATGCTGCACTATAGCAACTTTTTCTAGTCAGTAACATTTGGTTGTAAGTCACAATGAGAGTCAGGCTGGGGATATCCTTCCCTGATAGAATGTTTGCCTTGCATGTACAGGACCCTGGGTTCAATCCTCAGCACTGGGGAAGGCAATAAGTAAGTAAGTGAACAAATAAATAAACCCCTGGAATTTGTCCTTAGTTGTCAGAATGGCCAGGATGAGGTTGGCTGACTTAGCAGTAAACTTCTGACCACTACCATATGAAGGAGGAGGAAGAGGTGATATTTGAAATTCTTGAACCCAGGCTGTGTCAAATGACCTTCACTAAAAATTTCCAATTTGAGACTTTTATAGGGCTTTCTTTGATGAGGTTACAATGGCCTGGAGTAGGTTCCTTTTGAATAGATTTAAATTACCATTCTCAAATCCACTCTAATCCTTTCCCAAGGTCATCTTGATTAGATTTTTAGGTTTTAGAAATTCCCAAAGATTGATGATATTATCTGTGACATATGGGTTTAGCCAAATGAATTGAAAGTATCCCCAAGTTTTAGGCATGATTTCCACATTGTCTTGCCCATGTAACTCTCAGTGAATAGCCTTAGACATGTTTGGATAAATGTTAATCCAGTTCTTAACTTCTCTAATCTTGGTTTTCTCATTTTTAAATAGGAATAAAAAATTTCATTCATGTCATAGGTATTTTGGGAATTTTAAATGAAATAACGAACATCCTCTTTTTTATTGGATAATAGGATAGTTTCATGAATTTGCTGGTTACCTTGTTCTGATAGGTTATTTGGGGCTGGGTGGGGGCTTCAGGCCCTTTAAAAGGAAGTTCTTAAGGGAGATCAGGGATGGGTGACACCCATTCTGCTGGGATTGCATCATTTGATTGACTAGAGGCCTAAAGGCTGGTATCACATGAGTATGGCTGACTGACGTTAGAATCTGTCTGATTGTGGAAGCTAAAGTTAAAACTAAGGAATTAGTCATGGATCTCAGGATGGAATCAAGGAGCACAGAGAGTGGTAAAATTCTGAAAACTGAAACTTTCTTATAAATGCTGTTTATTCCTTTTGTATGTTTTGCTGTTATGGCTATCCGGCACTTTGTGGTGTCCTGGCCTCATGGCCTCAATATGTTATCTACTTTATCTCATTTAGTACTGTTATATTAACTCCAAATTGCACGGAGTGGGGGTAGGGGTGGGGGCGGAAAGAAGGCTCAGGGAAGCAAAGTAATTTTTGGTCTGGCTCCAGACATGGATCTCAGAATATAAAATATACATATAGGATTTTTGAATTTGAGTATTGACACTGTAAATAGCTGTTGAGTTCATGTATTTGCCGTAACAGGGATTGAATCCAGGGGCCCTCTACCATTGAGCAACATCCCCAGCATTTTTGGTTCCTAATTTACAATCCTCCTGCTTCAGCCGCCTGAGTTGCTGGGGTTAGAGGCAGGTACCACCAGGCCTGTCGGAATTCATACATTTAAGAAATTTCTTTTTTGGGGGGTACAGGGATTGAACTCAGGGGCACTTGACCACTGAGCCACACCCCCAACCCTTTAATTTAGAGACAGGGTCTCATTGAGTTGTTTAGCACCTTGCTTTTGCTGAAACTGACTTTGAACTCCAGATCCTCCTGCCTCAGCCTCCCAAGCTGCTGGGATTAGCAGCCTGCACAACTGCGCCTAGTTTAAGAAACATTTAATGAGCAATAATTGTATGCCTTGCACTAAGTTGGCTACCAGGGATTCAGAAGTGAATATAAAACCAAAACTGCAACCTAACTGCTACACTTGGATAGTAATTTGGTACCAGACCCTTTATATAATATATATGTTAGTTTTTTTAACCATCATAACTACCCTGTTGAAAGAGTAGTGACACCCTCATTTTATAGATGCTACTCAGAATTACCCAAAGTCATAAAGCCAGGAAGTAGCAGAGCTCAGGGTCTTTTTTTCAATTAGTTTTTTTTTTTTTTTTTTTAACTAGGGATTGAAACTCAGGGGCACTTAACCACTGAGCCACATCCCCGCCCTATTTTGTACTTTATTTAGAGACAGAGTCTCACTGAGTTGTTTAGTGTCTTTCACTAAATAGCTGAGGCTGGCTTTGAACTCATGATCCTCCTGCCTCAGCATCCTGAGCTGCTGGGATTCTCCTGCTAACCTCTAAATCTTATTGAGAAATCAAAATCTTAAAAAGAAGGAGAAGGAGCCAAGCGGAGTGGTGCTTGCTTGCAGTCCCAGTGAATATAAAACCAAAACTACAACCCAGTGGCTGGGGAGGCTGGGGCAGGAGAGTTCAAAACCAGCCTTAGCAACTTCTTGAGGCCTTAAGCAATTTAGTGAGACCCTGTATCAAAATAAAAATAAAAATAAAAAGGGCCAGGGATATGGCTCACTAGTTAAGCACCTCTGGCTTCAATCTCTAGTATACAACAAAAACAAACAAAGCAAAAATTTCCTCTTTCTTTTTTTTTTTTTAAATATTTATTTTTTAGTTTTCAGCGGACACAACATCTTTGTTTGTAGTGCTGAGGATCGAACCCGGGCCGCATGCATGCCAGGCAAGCGCGCTACCACTTGAGCCACATCCCCAGCCCTTCCTCTTTCTTTTTGGTAAATAAAACTAATATATGCTCAATTTAAACAACCTGAGTGCTGATTTTCTCACATACTTCCAGAAACACCATGTTAACAAATAAAAAAAAAATTATTTATTTTTTGCAGTAGTGGAAATTGAACTTTGGGTCTTTTGTATGCCAGGCAAGCTTTCTATCATGGAGCTACACCCCCAGCACAAGGCCTTGGGTTCAATCCCCAGCACCACAAAAAAGAAAACAAAAAACAACTCATTTGAAGTGTATAGTTGAGTGTATATTTCCAGTTTTGCAACCACAGTGACAGTTTTTTTTTGGCCAGTAGAGGAGATGGAATCCAGGGCCTGGCATATGCTACACAAGTGCTCTACCACTGAGCTACATCCCCTTTTTTATGTGTTATTTTGAGGTGAGCTCACTAAATTACCCAGGCTGGCCTCAAACTTGCTATCCTCTTGCTTCAGCTTCCTGAGCTTGAATTACAGTGTGAGTGCAATGGCTGTAAGCTTGGATTTTTTTTTTTTTAAATTGATTAGAGAAGTTTTATATTTATCATCTTTATTTGCCTTCCATATATATTGCAAATGTTCTTAACCATTTTCTTGTTAGTTTTACTTTGTTGATGGCCTCTTTTCCTGTGTAGATGGTTACGTTTCTTTCCACCTTTTTATGATCTATTGGTTTTGATTCATAAATATATATACAACTCCTCCAATTATACAGCTCACTTTTTTTCCCCCAGTATCTTCAGGTTTTTTTTTTTTTTTTTTTTTTTTTTTAAATAAGATTGTGGTTTGCCTAAGTATTCAATCCACTCTGAGTTTAGTTTGAAATAACATAACTATCTTATCAAATACTACTGACTTAAAACAGTCATTTTGATCAGATGGCCACATTTCCCTTCTTTCTCGAACCAGGACAGAATGACAGCAGCTGACATTGAGACTGAGTGCTTTTTAGTCGGGTTGGGTTCATGTTCTTGGTTTATTTATTTATTTTTTATTTTTAAAATATTTTTATTAGTTGATGATTTTTTAAAAAATTTATTTGTATGTGGTGCTGAGAATCGAACCCAGGGCGTCACACATGCTAGGCAAGTGCTCCACCACTGAGCCACAACCCCAGCACCCCCATGTTCTTGGTTTAATGTTCTCTTGTCGCCATCTTAAAATTCATGATCATTTTTGAACCAGGAGGCTCGCGTTTTCATTTTGCCCTGGGATCTTGCAAATTGTGCTGTGTGGCCTTGCTTAGTCCCCGTACTGTGCTAAGTATTTTGCATATGCTATTCCCCTAATCCCTCAGTTAGGGAGGTGTTACTATTTACCTCTTTATTTCACAAATGGGGAAATGGAGGCAGGAAGGTTAAATAACGCCTCCGGCTGGCGATGTTAAGTTAGGTATTTGTCCTGCCCACGTCTAAGGCCAGAGCCCTGCGGGCGCCGCCAAGCTGGAATAACCTGCGGGCGGGCTCCCTGGGCAGAGAACCGCGCGCAGGACTTCGCGGGCCTCCCGCGCCGCCAGCCTGCCCAGCTCCGGCCGAGCTCAGCCCCGCGCCCGCGCGCACCGTGCGCGCTCAGGTGCCGGCCAGGGGCATCCCGCCTTCTGCCCTCGGCGGCGCGCGCTCGCCCAGCGGGCGGGCACTCGCGCGCGCAGCGGTTGTGTTGCTTGCAAGTTTCCCAAGTTCACACAGGCCCCGGGTTGGCATGGCAACCAGGCAACCTGTTCCAGAGCCGCTCTGCCTTCTCGGCACACGCCGCTGCCACCGCCGGAGCCGGGGCCAGAGCCTATCCCATGATGCACCGCGCCAGCCCAGTCCCCAGTGGGCCGCCATGTTGTCGGAGTGAAAGGTAAGGGGGAGCGAGAGCGCCGGAGAGAGAAGATCGGGGGGCTGAAATCCATCTTCATCCTACCGCTCCGCCCGTGAGTATCCGCACCCCGCGGGTCCCAAACGCTACTCCGCACCCCTAGCGAGCAGATTATCCCTTCGTATTGGTGTTTGAGAGCGTTTGGTGGGGTGAGAAGGGCTTTGGAAAAGCCGCCGGGGCCCTGGCTGAGGCTCCTCACTCGCTGTTCTTCGTACATGTTTTGGAGTCAGCAGCAAGGCCCCTATTGTTATCACAGGAGGGAGGGGGTGGGGAGCGGGGTCGAAGCGAGGAGAAGGCCGGGGGTTTAGGCCCGGGCCCGGAGCCCAGAGGCGTCTCTGTGTTTGTGCTCGGCCTTGTTGGGAGTCTCCGGAGATGGATGTTGCCGTTCGGGTTGCTTTTTTGACGGGTTTGCGAAGCCCGGATTCCTCTGTGTGGCCATGGAGTGTAATTCTGTGCCACCCCGGGATTCTTCGACTTCCTGAGCTTCCGTGGCAGCGCCGATGGAGGGGGAACAATAAAGCACAGGAGAAGCAGCCGTGGCCCGGGTCCACGGGCGAGACCCGCCGTGGGGGAACTTTGCAAGCTTTAAATGTGGAGAAGTGGCGATCAGGAAGTTTCAGATCGCTTTTGAGGCTCCTGGGTGCTTTGTGGCCTTTTGTTTCCGTGAGAGCTGGTGTTTGGGGTAGGTTCCTCCTCTCGGAGGAGCCTGTCTGTACTGGTGTGTCTCTTAACTCCGAGGGGCTCTGCTCTCGGGAGCAGGAAAACCATCCACACACACAATAACTGGACACTTGGCGTTCTCACGAACGTGCTTGGTAAACACAGGTCATTTATTTTACTTGCCAGTACCACTCCCACGTCAAGTGAGGAATACGCTCCTCTAACTTTGTTTTCTCCAGTGTCGTCCCCCTCCCCCGCCAACCCCAACCCCAAACCAAAGAACCCACACACAAATTACCAGAGAAGGCTTTGTCCTCATCATAACTTTAATCCTCACCCCTTCATTGTTCAATTTAGAAAACACTGTTCTAGTTATTGATCATTTTGCTCAAGTCCTGTTATTAAGACTACGGCTTTATGAGGCTTTTTTAAAAAAAAATTTTGTTTTGAAGGGGGTATTCTGTTTTAAAAGTCAGTTCTCAGATAATAGGTTTGTAGCTTTAGCTTTTTGTTCGTATTTTGAATACGCTCAAAATCACCAAGACAAGCCTCCCTCAAGGTATGTGGCTTCCGATGTAGTTTTTAGTAAACAAAACAAACATTCTGATCCCTTGCCAATTTTAACTTTGAAACACTCTGGTGGCTGTTGATTCTTTATCTGGGTCTTTGGGAAATAATAGATTATGAACTTTCGAGTTAGTATTTTTGCCTTCACCACACTTGAATTCATTTTGTCGAAGGCCACCGACTTCTTGAAGTTGGAATTTGTTTAGTTTGGATTTGAGATGAATTGCTTTAAAATAAATTTATGACCACAGAATGTTTGTTCAGCATGGTAAAAATAAACACCTTTTAAACCACTAGCCATTTTAGTAGGAGGAGAAAGATTAAACCATGTTCCTTTATTTGAAGTAAACTCTATTAATGATAATCAAAACAAAACAAGAAAAAAAATCCACACCTTGATGTAAACAGGAAACATGGAAGAGTAGCTAGAATTGACACCTAATTCTAGTTGCTTAAAATACTTATTTTCATGGGTCATTTGTAAAAAATTACATTTGAAATCTGTTTAAACATAACTTTTTAGTGAACTTTGAGAGTTCCCTAAAAGGTATTAACAATTTTGTTTACTAACATTTAGGTGACTGTTTCTTAATTTTTGTGCTGTAGTGACAGGGTATTACAAAATTACCCAAGACATACATTAATTACTTAAGTATTTTCTCACTTTCAAATTGTCCCTTCTGCCAGGTTTTCTCTCCTTTGAGAAACTACCTTGCCTCATTAGGTAAAGCAGGAAGTTGCAGGCCCTACAGATAGCTTTACAAAAGCCAATTGTTTTGTTTGAACATTTTTATAGAAACCAGCCTCTCCCATCCCTTTTTGGAATGAGGTTGTTTTCAGTGTGCTTCCATGATAAATTCTTTTTTCATATGGAAATTCATTTTAGATAACTATTTTGACAGGTCTTTTATATCAGAAAAGATTACATTTACTATTTTAGGAATTCTCTAGAGCTTGGAGCTGCATTGCCTTAACTGGTGGTAACTAATGTGTGGGCTCTTCAGCATGGTGACTTTAAACTTATCTGTAACTTTTGTATATTTTAATAATAATAATTAAAAAAACCCCAAAACTATTGCATAGATTTTGGACTTGTGAGAGATACTATTGCATAGAGAAAGCATATTTTCTGTTTTCTAGATGAAGAAACAGGCTCAGAGATATTGTTCAGTGGCAAAACTTGGTTTTGGGGCTTCTGGTATATTTTAAAACAAAGATAGATTGAGATTCCCTGGTGGAAGAAAATGGGACTATCCACTATTGGAAACAAGGTAATGAGTCCTTTTGAAAATTGAGTTGGGAAGGCATTAGGCTGTTTTGTACTTTGCAAAAGCTGATGGTGAAACAGGCATGGTTTACTTATTTTGCTACTTGAGCGAGGACAAGATTTTATTCATGAAGAGAGAAACTGAGAAGTTTAGAAGACTAAACTACACCAGTACTCCAGGAAGCCTCTGATGGATTGGAGTTGTTAACCTAGGCTAGGCATTTCCAAATTAGGCTTCGAAGAGATCACAAATTCTATTGTGTCTTCTTACTTCTGACTTCCAAACACAAGTTAGTTGTGAGAAGTGAATGCTACTTTGTCAGGAGGCTTAATTATTCAGGAGAGATAGGTTTTTCATAAATCTGGTTTTGAAATAAGAGTGATAAGACATGGAGCACTGGACTATTGAAATTAGGCTCTCTGAGGTTGTGAACAGATGTTTGTTAATTGGTAACTGATTTATTTACTTTGTATATACAAATGTAACTTTTTTGATTTTTAGAACTTAAATTGTAATATTTAATAGTAACATTTTCAGGCTTCTTTCAGAGGAGGAGACTGGTGAGAGATACTGTTGCAAGGGGTGCAGATAGAAACAACTAAGTTTGGGTACAGAATAGATTGAGAGCCTTCTCTGCTACTCACTTGCTAAATGACCTTGGGCATATCATAATTTTGTGCCTTAATGTTT